TTCAGTGATCCCTTCCACAATCCAATGTTTCTCAGCAGCTGTTTTCTGTTCACAAGCATTCAAAAATTGGAAATTAACAAAGCACCATTTGAGGTTCAAACTCCTGTAGATTTCCCATTCTTATGTGGCTTATTCTTTTTTATTATTACTTTAATTTTCTGTTTAAAGACTTTACTATTTTTATGACTGTCTATACCCTCTTTCTTAAGCATATGCACTGTTAAACACACTGTGACCTGTTTAGAGGCTCTTTTGAACCTGCTTTACAGCATATCTGCAACCTTTTCTATCTGATGAGCAAAACCTTAAACCTCCATGCAGCTTAGCTCGTTATGCACTGGTGCCCAAGAGACGCATCTCTGTACTGTGGCCTGCATTAGACTGTGGATCCGTTTTTGTGTGTTTAGAACCCCTTTTTAAGCTTTCTTGGGTCTTGTGTGGAAATATGTGCCTCCACGTTGGACGCCATTTGTAGTCGGACTTTTTCCTAGGAACTGTTGGCTCCCCAATAATGACACGGGGAGACTTATTAATTATGAAAGCTCAGCCAATAGCTTAGGCTTGTTTCTAACTAGCTCTTACAACTTAAATTAACCCATTTCTAATAATTCACTTTCTACCTTGTGGCTTTATTACCACATCTCTGCATTGCCCACCCTGCTTGCTCTGCGTCTCTTGATGTCTTCCTTCTTCCCAGAGTCCTCTCTACCCCGAAAATATGATTAGCTATTGGCCATTCAGCTTTTTATTAAACTAGAGTGACACATTGTCACAGTATACAAAAGATTATTCCATAAGACTGATGGTTCATTTTTAAAATAAAACTATCTTGAGTCATCTTAAGTCTAATTATGGATAAGAGAAAACACTGGATCCCTGGTAACAGTCTAAGTTAGTTACTCCCACCCTTTAGTTGTGGAATATTATTTTAAAATGTGTTATATTTGTTTATGCTGTGGAATAGTTAATGATGGAAAGATGTGTTAAATTCTTTTATATTGCATTTGTTTAACTCTGTAAAGCTGTGTATTTTGCCTGTATAAAATACCTGACTGGTCTAATAAAGAACTGAATGGCCAATAATAAGGCAGAAGAAAGGATGGGCAGGCAGGGAGGATAAACAGGAGAAATCTTGGGGGAAAGGGTTTCACGAGCCAGAGAACAAGGACAGGATGCCTCCAGAGGCCAGCCACCCAGCCAGCCATGAAGTCAAAGTGAAAGTAAGATATACAGAAGTAAGAAAAGGACAAAGCCTGGAGGCAACAGGTAGATGGGATATTAAGTTAGAAAAGCTGGCTGGAAAGAAGCCAAGCTAAGGTCGGCATCCATAAGTAAGAATAAGACTCTGCGTGTGATTTATTTGGGAGCTGGGTAGAGGGCCCCCCAGAGTCAAGAGCCCCCCCAAAACCCCCACAAATTGTTAGTATTGCCTCCTACCCAAACTAGAAGTTTAGAGTAGAAAATCAGTAATAACCAAGCTAGCCTGAAGACCTGCAGACATAACAAGATGGGTGAACCTGTTAGGTCTCAGTAGTGCGTGAGTCCAGAAATGACAGTCTTGGTTCAATTCAAGCTGGACTATAGTGGTGGTCTTCTGGTGGTCACACAAAAGCCAGGATTCCTCAGAAACCTGCAGATGGGTTTCTGTTCACCAAAAGGAGTCATTTCCCTTGCCTCTGGAGAAGAGACAAATGGTTCTTCATTGACACAGACCTCTGGTTTCATTTCAAATTCCATGCTGGCCTCCAGGTTCCTTCAGTTTCCGTGCACGAGTACCCAGTATATATTCCAAAGTCCCCTTCTTATCCCCCCTAATCCTCCTTCACTATGCTAGCCACGTGCTATTCCAGGACCACCCCACCCTGTTCTCTTGATAACAGTAAGGTTTTTCTCCCTACCCCCATTAATCTCCCTTCTCTTGAAGATAGCCCCGGCCATGCCCAGCCTGCTTCTTTTTCTCTCTGCTCTAGACTCTTCCAAATGTCCTTGGGTATTTCCTTTTCTTTATCCACAATAAAAACTGTCCACCCATGGAACAGTCATTTCAGTAGTTTCTTTACTGCCCTCGAATACAGAACCCACTCACCATTTTTGTTGAGAATAAAGGCAAACATCAGAGAGAAGAGCAGCAGAGGGAGGGATAAGACCCAGATGTCATAACAGATTGTACGTTCCTGACTAACCAGACACGAGGAGAGCGAGCAAGGGGCTTGTATGAGGGCTATGAAAACTGTCTCTGTATTCAATCAGAAAGCCAGTCTAGACTAACAGCAGGCTCTGAAAGGCTGTAAAATAAACTGTCACCTGTGCTCCTCCGCATCTGCGGTGCTCCTCCTCCGCATCTGCGGTGCTCCTCCGCAGGTGCTCCTCCTCCGCATCTGCGGTGCTCCTCCTCCGCATCTTCGGTGCTCCTCCGCAGGTGCTCCTCCTCCGCATCTGCGGTGCTCTTGCATGAACTGAGGGTCTTTGTTTCTCACATACCTCATACTCTTTATAATCTCACTTTAAAGGAAAAACCTTGGGGTCTGGAGAGTTGGCTCGGTGGTTAAGAGCACTTACTGCTCTAGCAGAGGATGTGGGTTTAGTTCCCAGCACCCACCCACATTATTAGTTCACAACCATGTGTAACTTCAAATGATCCAACACTCTCTCCCAACTTCCAAGGGCACCAAGCACAAACATGGTGTACTTACAGACATGCAAGCAAAATTCACACACAAATAAAATAATCTTAATATTAAAAAAATTCTTAGGTGGTGGTGGTGTACACCTTTAATCCCAGCACTCAGGAAGCAAAGGCAGGCAGATCTCTGTGAGTTCGAGACCAGGCTGGTCTACAGAGCTACTTCCAGGAAAGTCAGGGCTGTTATACAGAGAAGCCCTATCTTTAGAAACAAAATAAAACAAACAAAACAAAACCCCAACCTCTTTATATTGGGTGTGGTGGTGTTACAGCCCTTGGGAGACAGAGGCAGTGCATCTCTGTTAATTTGAAGCCAGCCCAGTCTACATAGCAAGTACCAGGTCAGCTAGGACTACATAGTGAGACACTGTCTCACAAACAAACAATCCCACTGAACCAACCAACCAAAACCCTTTTGACAAAATAAGTATAGCAAAAACATTTTTTTTTAATTTTTTATTTGTATAGAAGTTTTACCTGCATGCATGTCTGCACCATTTTCATGCCTGGTTGTGAATCACCATGTGGATGTTAGAAATCAAATCCTGATCCTCTGGAAGAACAGCCATCTCTCCAGCACCCACAAAAATGCTGTTGTTGAGTCAGGGTCCCACTATGTAGCCCTGGCTGTCCTGGAACTCTTGATACAGATTCACAGAAATCTACTGGCCTCTGCCTCTTGAGTGCTAAGATTAAAATCCTGAACTTCCATTTCAGGCTACCTTATGAACCTTTTAGATTATATCCTTTAAACAAAGTAACTTCAAAAGCCACCACAATTATGTACAGCTGTTAAAATGCTCAAGTAGGCCTCTCTTGAGGCACGCGCGCGCGCGCACACACACACACGCACACACACACGCGCGCGCGCGCACACACACACACACACACACACACACACACACACACACAAATCTTTGGGTGTGCACTCCCTCCCCAATCTAGCTTCACAGATTGCTGAAATCTTCCAGCAGTGTACATTAAGATCCTGGGCAGAGCTCCTCAGGCTGCGATGCTGAGTTTACCTCTCGTTGCCAGTAACATCTGCAAACATACTGAGATCCTCCCTTCCTCTGTCGTCCAGTTCCTCGCAGAACGCAAATGTCCCTCTGAGGGCTTGCAGTGGAGAGATCTTGAAGCAGCTGTGCCTTCCAGCCTTGCTCTCCTTGGCTGAGGCCCTGCCAAATGCCTCAGTTTCATTCAGGGATCAACTCAACTAGTTTCCTTTGGCTCGGGGATTAAGAGCATTTGCTGTTCTGACAGAGGACCTGGGTGTGGTTCTCAGCATGCACCTGATACACATTCATACCTGCAGGCCAACACTGACGCACACAAAAGAAGTAAATAAAATAATAGTGATTTAAAAGGAAAAGCATAGTCTAAATTCAGAAGGCACTCCTTTCCAGCTGATTAAGAAAGGGAAAGTACGCCCAAGAATTTGGAGTGGGTGAGTGAGCAGAGGATAGCGCCCACAGAACATAGGGTAACGTTGAATAGGACATTCATATGTTTTCTCGTTTGGCATTGGTTTTTCTCTCATTATTAGCCCGGGTGGGGAAGTTTCCGGTCTTTCCCCGCGAAAAAGCTTGTTTCATGCCTTAATGTGGCATCTTCCCTTCAGCCAGCCACTAGACAGACATTCGGCACCCACTCAGCACCCCTAATCAACGGCGTTGGGGCTTGGTGTCCTCTTTCAAGATCTCGTACGCTACCAGGACATTATACTTTCACGTTCGAACCAGGACCTGTGCAGGGAGTCCACCACCGAGACTCGTTCAGCCCTTTTATACTTCGCAGCAGGGCAGAGTAGAGCCGCGCACAGGGCCGTCACTGTGTTCAACCTTAGGACGGAAGGTTGTGGGAGAAGGCCGAGGCCGAGGGAGAAGCGCCCGCGGGAGCGAGGAGACTAGGGACTGGCTGGAATGGACGCGCTCGAGAAATCAGGGGGCCAGGGGCGGACCAAGCGCACGGACCACTGGGAACGGGGCCGTGGCCGGCGCGCGGAATCCTGGGAGCCCGAGCGCGCGGAAACCTGGGAGCTGCAGTCGCGCCATCGAGAGACAAGGGACGGAGGCGGAGCGAGGCGCGGGGAGGCATGGGAACGGGGCGGGGCGGCCCAGCGCGCGATCCTAACGGCTGGAGACGCTGCGCGGGAGTCCACGCTGGTGAGGCTCCGCCTTGCGTGGGTTTGAACGGAGCTCCGCTCGGCACTCCACCAATTGGCGCTCGCGCGGCGGCTCCATGGCGACCCTTTGTGGGCGCTGACTGGTCTCGGCTGCCGACCGTGTGGTAGGCCTGCCTCGCGGCGCAGGTGAGTGGGTGGGCTGCTTGTCCCCCGGGCCCCTGCGGCCTGGGCTGCGGCTAGCGCGGCACCTCCGGGGCGGCTGGGCCGCCAGGATCCCCCGGCCTCGGCCGGCGCCTGCCGTCCTGTGGCGTCCATGACGCCGCGGCGTGTTGAGTGACACTTACCGAGAGCCGGAGCGGCGGGTACGAGCTGTCCCTCCCGCCCTCCGCCCACATTCCCTAGCTTCCGCTCCTGTGGCCCTTCCTTTCTCCTCTGTCCCTCCTTTGGTTCAGCCCGTGTGGGTCTTCCACCCCACCCTAGCCGCCGCTGCTGTGCGTTTCCCTGCAGAACTGCTCGTGGGCTGCAGTTTGGGGGCACCAGACTCTGCCTGACTCCGAGCTCTGAGCGTCGACCTGCTGGCTAGGGACGGATTCCTAGAGATCAGGGTGGGCTCCTTGCAGCCTCCTGCCTGGTGAGTGTTGGCCTTGAGTACTTTTCCTTTGTTTTTTTTTTTTTTGAATTTTAGTTCCCCTGAGGCGGTTATCGCGTGTCTCGTGTTGCACACCATTCCCCTACTACAGTGGACCTCACTTCCTTCTATATGATTATTTATGGCTCAGTAGAGACTGCCTGCAACGGCATCAGTGGAACTCGACTGGAAGCCAGAGATCTTTTCTGTGTTTTCACCCAAATAGGATCACCAGGGGAGGGGACCCTTCCAGAACCTGGGACAGATGTACTGGTCCAGACAGCACCCATATACTTTCCCTTGTTGGCCTTTGTATGTGACTACCAGATGGCTGGACTAAGCTAGCCATTGATTGAATTGATCCACAGAAAACATTGTCTACACACAAAGTTAAGATTGATGCCTTATCAACCCCCTGCGGATGCAGCTTTGTCAAGATCTTATAGGTGAAATTTAAAATGCAGCCAGGAATCTCTTCCTGTTTTAGAGACTCCAGTATAAGGAGGAGGCCAGGAAGTTTCCTTGGGTTGTCACTGAAACCTAACTCCAGGCATAAGAAAGCCTCACAGCCTTCCAAGGATAATGCTCAGAAGGACTTTTTAGCTGTTTATACAAAATCTCAAGCAGAAATTGTGGGACAATAAACTCCACCACGTAGCCACCAACTTCACTGACTGTAGCAATTCCCAACTTGTTCCCTCCTCCCAGTTGCTTTTTTTGGAAGTAGTTTAAAGCAGTTGTGATTTTTATTGTTTTGTGCTTTTGAGGCAAGATTTCCTCTTCTCCGCTTCCCCCTTCTCTTGTCTCTTTCTCCTCTCTCTTTCTCTGTCCCCCCCTTCACCCTTTCCCCTCCACAATCCCCTGAATATTCAACCTCACTCTGCAAAAAAAAAAAAAAAGGAGACAAGATTTCCTTTAGCCCAGGCTGGCCTCAGACTGTCACCAGAAATAACCCCGAACTCTTGTTCTTCCTGTCTCTGCTTCTCAAGTGTTGGGATGACCTGTATGCCACCATGCCCAGCTCTGAAATCACTAAATCCTGATTCACCTTAAAAATCCAACATCCAGATGAGTGCTTTATTGTTGGCTATAGTCCAAGCCCTGGTTGTGCTAGGTCTATTCAGGTAAAATCAAAACTCTGATAATTGCCTAAATCATGATGAGAGCCCAGGAAGTTGCTTGTCATCCTTCATTAGGATTAAGCAACTTCAGGTCCGACACACAGATGGCCACAGGGAGCTGTACCCAGACCATTCTAGGAGAGGCTCTAGGGCTCAGCCATTTAGGGCTGGTCAGAATATTGCTGGTGATACAGGCCTTCATCTCGAGTTCCCTCTTTCCTCTTAGTAATTACACTGTCACCATCCTGTTTATAGCTTTGGTTCTAGAGGGACAGGTAAGCAAACACATCTGTGTATTTCATTACAGGGCTTTGGTTCTGTGAATACCCCACAGTTTTATATTGTGACTCCTCCCCTTTAATGTGTGTATGCCTGTGTATTCATGAGTTCAAACTTGCATGAATTCCTGTGCACCGTCTGTGAAGGTACCCTGGAACTGGAGTTCTAGGCAGTTGTAAGCCACCATGTGGGTTCTGGGTACCCAGCCTTCATCATCTGTAAATCGTCTCTAGCCCCACCTTGTTTGAAATCCTAAATCTGAGGATGGTGAACAAGACTGAAGGAAGGACGGTGACGCCCTAGCAAGAGACAGAGTATTGGTTAAAGCTCTGTTGTGCAAGAGTAGTATGTACCCTAAGGAAAAGGGACAGAGGAGAGGGAAAGGTAGTTCGATAGCAAATATGCAAAAATGAATGCAGAAGAAAATTGATGAGTCCTAGTACTAAGTCAGGATTTAATGGTACAGAAACCAAGTGCCAGGCCAAGGAAACATCTGTGGCTGGAAACTACTTGGTGCTGGCTGTAGACTGCCTGGTGTGCTTGTGCGTACAAGTAGGCACTCGCCAGAAATGATGACCCACTTGTTAAATAACAAACACAACTTGCTGTGGACGCAACACAAGTGAAAGCTAGTGCTCACTAAGAAAGGGGCTGGGGAAAGGGAATCTAGAGGGTGGCAGGTTTTCTCTGAGTGGTTAGAATTATGGAGCATCTTCGTTTTGTGATTTTTGATTCTCTTCTAGATTGTCTAGTGAAGCTGTGGAAATAACATAAGCAATCCAGTGAGAACAGGCGGAGGCCGGGTGTACAGCAGAGCTATAGCTGGGAGTTGCTCCTATCACTGTTTGCAGTCTTGAGGAAAGCTTTGCAGTGGGGTGACTAGGTGTGAGCATCTCCCGAGTGGGAAACAACACCTTCATTCTGTAATCACAAATTTAAGAAGCAAACAGTTTTAATTTTATGATTCTGCAGAAACGGAAATTAGCCTAGCAAAAATAGCTTCCCAGTTTGATACAAAAAGTGGTTTTGAAAGTCTCTGGTGAAAAATTCTGCATTTTTGGTTTTCTGAGATGTGATCTCACTATGTATCCTTGGCAGGCCTAGAACTTCCATGTAGACCAGACTTGGATTTAAACTAACAGAGAGCCATTTTCCTCCAGTGCTGGGATTTAAAGGCTTTTACCATCATACCCTACAGTTCTGTCCTCTTTTTCCTATAGGCTGGTTCTCCAGAGAGATAAAATCTTAACATTTGTCTAGCATTACCTGCTTGATGGATTCCCCATCCTATTGGCTCCAGGTACAAAGCCTCATCTAATGGATATTCCAGGGTTCCAGATTCCCTCCTTTTCTTATTGTAGCAGACTGCAACTTTTCAACCTTAGGATGAACTAAGGGGGCCTAGAAAGTGGGGTCAGCTGCTAGCTAGGAGAAACAAGTACTATGCCTCCTACTACTCTTCTTGTCTAGTTTACCAGTGGTGGCGCTTGCCTTTATCCCAGCACTGAGGAGGCAGAAGCTGGTAGATCTCTGTAAGTTTGAGGACAGCCAAGGCTACACAGAGAAACCTTGTCTCAAAAAACAACAAAAAATAATAAAATATATAAATAAGACTGTCATTTGTTTCTTAGGTCCTGTGACTGGCTGTAGTAGGTATTTCCTCTTCGGTTAGTCCTGAGATGGCACCAAAGAATGCTGTGCTAGGTTTTTTCTTTTGGACCACCAGTCTGCTCCCAAATCATAACATGGAAACTTCTTAATTAGTTATTAGTTTGAATGTTCAGCCTAGCTTAGGTTTGTTTCTGGCTAGCTCAGAACCTGTTTTTCTGTATCTGCCTTTAGCCTTGGGGCTTTGTACTTTTCCTTCTGTATATCTTACTTTCACTACTCCTTGTGTCTGCTGCCTGGCTTATTGCCCCAGGCATGTCCCTTATTCTCTTCTCTCTCTTCTTTTCCCAGCCTAGATTTCTCCTCCTATTATCTCTGCCTACCAGCCCTGCCTATCCTTTTTCTGCCTTCTTATTGGCTGTTCAGCTTTTTTAGACCAGTCAGGTGCCTTAGGCAGGCAAGGTAAACAAATGCAGAATAAACAAAGCCAACACACCTTTACACAGTTAAAGTGGGATTCTGCAGCATAAACAAATATCTTTGCCTAGTTAAATAATATTCCACAGATGCTGCTAGCTTTTTATATCCTGGCTAGAGGGCTTTTTTTGTTGGGCAGTTGCCAATTAGAGTCCTGGAGAGCTTGCTGGTTTCTAGGCTGGTCTTGTAGGTGAGCCTTCTGGGCTGGTCATTGCAGATTATGGGTCAGAATTGTTCCCTCTGTGCTCCTGCCAGAAATATTTGTACTTTGTCTCTTGTAAGAGCATGTGCTCTGGGTGCTTCTGGGCCTTCTTTTCTGGCAGTATGTTCTTAGCACTACCCACTGCTGATCAGTCTGGCTGTGGCTCAGCACTCAGTCAACTTTCCATCCCTAGAGGGGCACTAGAGCCTTGTCTGGATTTCAGAATTAGTGTTCTTCATTGGGTGTGCCCACTCAGGGATTTATGACTTGAGATACCAAAGGGCTTCCCGCCCAGCTTTATTTATTTACAGTTATCTTCCTGCCTCCTGCATACAAGGTTCATAAACATGTGTTGCTGACTTTAATGCACTTTGAGTTGTCTCCGTATGTGAAGTGTGAGTCTCTGAAGCCTGCTTATCTTTTTTTTTTTGTTTTGTTTTGTGACCCTCAGTTTAATCAAGGTTGCTTGCGTGAACATGGGCAGGAATTATTTACTGGAGCATGGGCAACTTAATCTTCTTTGATGGTTCCCTCCCTCAGCAACCTTTTGTGAGCTCCTTCCCCGCATTTGTGAAGAAATGTTAATGGGGGTCCCATCTTGTGCACATAATCACAGTTACTCCTGTGATTTCATGTGTGGAGCAGCCATGTCGTGTCCAGACATTGTTATTTCACAAAACTTGTCATTCTCTACCTCTTAAGATTCTTTCTGCCCCACTTCCAGGATTATTTCCTGAGCCTTGGAGCCAGGGAGTATTGATATAGATGTCTGGTTTAGGGCTAAGAATTCACTAGTTTTTTATTCTTGGTATTTTGACTATTTGTGAGTCTCTGCATTAAATACTGTCTTTTGCAAATGGTGGGAGCTGCTCTTACCAAGGGTTTAAATATATTTAAAAGACAGTTTGTACATCATGTCCATTTAGGAAGATAACAGGAGTAGGCTCCCCTCCAGGGGAATTGACCTAGCCATGTGCTTTTGACCAGCTTTAAAGTACCGGGTATGAATTCTGTCCTGTGGAACAGACTTCAGATCCAAACAGAAAGTAGTTGGTTATAATAGTCATGCCACTATTTCTCCAGTGAGCATCTTTTATCTTACAGATTGCTATTTTTAGTTTGCAGGGTTCGTGGCTGAGAAGACCACTGATGACTTCTCTCTTCAGCCTGTTCTCCACCTCTTGGTACTAAGAAAACTATCAGGAACCCATTTATTCTTCTCTGTTCTTTTGTGAGTTCTACCCACTGCAGCCTCTGGTTGGCCATGCTGCTCTCCCTGGGACCAGTCTGCCTTCCAGTTGGGTTATCTGTTAGATTTTCATAGTCAGAATGGGCAGCTAAGTATTCTATTAGCAAAATAGGGTTAATTCATGACATGTGAGCTAGTTTGGTTTTAGGTCTGTTAAATCTTGAAGAGTTGAAATTTTAGAGATAACCCTGAAACAAAGAGGAACTTGCTGAAGAGAAACTTTTGGGACTTCCCACTCCTTAATTCAGGGTTTCTTGTTATAGTTTGACATAGTATATTAATTCTCAATAAACTTAGCTGGTTTACCCCAGTGGTTTTAAACATGTAATTGTTGTTTTTTTTTTTTTTAAGCTGGAAAGAATCTAGTTTAGACTTAGTGACCCACACTTTTAATCCCTCTGCTCAGAAAGCTGAAGCAGAAGGATCTTAAGTTAAGAGAACAGCCTGTTAAACACACACATACTACCACCAAAAGAGAAATCTCTATAATGCAAGGTTATCTTAGTTACCTTTCTGTTGCTGTGATAGAATGGCCTGACAGAAAGCAGCTCAGGGAGACAGGGTTGGTCTGGACTTGCAGTTACAGCAGGGATGAATGTATCTGTCCGTCATGACAGGGAAGGCACAGCATGGAAGGGTGAGGCCAACCTGGTGGTCAGGAAGCAGAGTGATCACATGTCAGTCATCTTCACACAGGAAGCAGAGAATAGAAAGGGTTCTGTAACCTCTTAGACGGTACCATCAGCTGAGACCAAATGTTCAAACCCAACCTAAGTTTATTTAGTTATAAGAGATTTTATGTATGTAGGTATTTTCGCCTGCATGTATGTCTGCACCATACGCATACAGTGCCTGCTGGGTCCAAAAGAGGGTGTCTGTTGGATACCATGGAAACCAACTTACAGATGTTTGTGAGCTGCCATGGATCCTTATCTCTAGCTCCAGATTCAACGGGTTTAAAAGAATTTGCCTGGCCTGGTGTCATACAACTTATAATCCTAGCACCTGGGAAGCAGAGGCTGGCCTGGTTTACCCAGTGAATTCCAGGCTAGCCAGGACTACCTAGTGAGACCCTGATTCAAAAAGAAAACATAACCTTGAATATTCTTAACAGAAGCAATGTGGGTTTGTGTGTGTGTGTGCGTGCACGCATATATTGGGGCCAAAGGCTGATATGTGGTATCTTACCCATTTGCTCTCCACTTTAATTATTAAGGCAGGGTCTCAGTTGAGTCCAGAGCTAGCCTGCTCCAGGGATCCTCTATTTTTACCTCCTGAGCTCTGGGATTAAAGTTGGGCCATCATACCTTACTATATAGGTTGTAAGGATCTTTACTTTGTGTGGCAAGCATTTAACCTGTTGAGTCATTGTCCTGCCTGGCTTCATGAAGTTTTTTTTTTAGACTTATATATATTCTCTGTGTATTACATGCATTTATGTATGTGCGTGCCTGGTGCTCTTGGGGGTCAGAATAGGGCATTGGATTTCCTGGAACTTGAGTTATAGATGGTTTTGAGCCACCATAAAGTACTGGGAACTGAGCCTGGATTCTCTGAAAGAGCAGCCAGTGTTCTTAACTACTGGGCCAATCTCTGGCTTCTCTTGTTATTTATACTTAGGTAGTAAGCTCCTTTCCATCACTACAACATAGATGATAAAACTTGAGGGGTAGCATGGACAGTAGTAATAGCTGCTTACTTTCCTGGGCATAGTCCTATAGGAAAAATAAGCTCTTGGCACCAGGTCTCTTAATTTTTTATCTTGAGTTTCTAATGTTTTTTCATATGAAGTTGCATCCTCTTTACTCCTCTCTCTCTCTTAAGTGTGTGTGGGATGTGTTGGGAACTGGGCACTGTGTGGCCAGCACACTTGTCCAGGCATGTTCTCTTACTGGAGATCTCCTGCATCCGCCTCCTGTGGCCGCCTGGTGCTTTGTCCTATGATTGCATGTGTAAGGAGAATGGAATTGATTGGGTGTGGCCTCTGGAGCGGCTTTTCTCTGGCTACAGTTCCAATGGGAGCCCTGGTCCTTTGTTTCCAGTTTGGGACAACTGAGTAGAGAACTACGAATATTCTTTACAAGTTTGTACATGAGCCCTAGCTTTCATTTCATTGGAACAAATACTCAAGAGGCCACATAAATTATGTAAAGGTCTATGACTCTGAAAGGAAGAAGGTAGCCTTTTTTTGTATCTAAAAAGAGTCCTAAAGTTTATGTATTTAAGAGATTTCTGGGGGAGGAAGTGGAAATTTTGAATGGTCTTATTTATAAAGCAATAAAAAATGAAAAAAGTTCTGTTAAGGACAACTTGGCATTTAATTTCAAATGTATTATTTAAAATAATATTTTTTTCTTTTGTTTTTTTGAGATAAGGTTTCTCTGTAGCTTTGGAGTCTGTCCTGGAACTAGCTCAGGTAGACCAGGCTGTCCTTGAACTCACAGAGATCCGCCTGCCTCTGCCTCCTGAGTGCTGGGATTAAAGGCATGTGCCATCACTGCCCAGCTTAAAATAATGTTTTTTATTTTAAAATAAAATTAAACCTGAAGAGATAACTCAACAGCTAAAACATCCTGTCACGCAAACATACGGACCAAAGTTCTGTTTGTGTTCATTTATCTGTTGATGAAAATTATGCTACAACTTAGCGCTCTGGTGGCTGTGACAGTGGCTGTGCCTCAGGCAGTCTTCCAGATGGTGTCTCTGGCACTGTTGTCACTTCTGTAGCTGTTTGAAACTGTCCTGGGTACTGTCAGCCAGGAGGCTGAAGTATGTTAATTGGTGTCTTCCTTGGTTCCCACAGGACACAATGTTTGCCAGAGGGCTGAAGAGGAAATACGGTGACCAGGAGGAAGGAGTAGAGGGTTTTGGCACTGTCCCTTCCTATTGCCTGCAGCGGCAGTCACTCCTGGACATGTCCCTGGTCAAACTCCAGCTCTGCCACATGTTAGTGGAGCCCAACCTCTGCCGCTCGGTCCTCATCGCCAACACGGTCCGGCAGATCCAAGAGGAAATGAGTCGGGATGGTGTGTGGCATGGGATGGCACCCCAGAATGTTGAACAGCGGGCACCAATTGACCGCCTGGTCTCCACAGAGATCCTGTGTCGTACAGCCAGGGGAACTGACGGGGAGCACCCCACTCCTGAACTGGAAGATGATCCCCTGCAAAGCTCAGCTTCTGAGCTTCCCATAGTCAGCTCAGCACAGGGACAGAGAAACCCTCAGAGCAGCCTCTGGGAGATGGACAACCCACAAGAAAACCGGGGAAGCTTTCAGAAGTCACTGGACCAGATATTTGAGACCCTGGAGAACAAAAGCCCCAGCTCAGTGGAGGAACTCTTCTCAGACGTGGACAGCTCCTACTATGACCTAGACACGGTGCTAACAGGAATGATGAATGGGACCAAACCCAGTCTCTGCAATGGCCTCGAGAGCTTTGCTGCAGCTCCCCCACCTCCCAGCTCCACTTGCAAGTCAGATCTGGCTGAGCTGGACCATGTAGTAGAGATTCTGGTGGAGACCTGAGAGAAGGCCCCTAGTGGGCCTATTCTGTGCTGTGATCCAGAGACAGACAAGCACTTGTCCCAAAGGGGGCCCTGCCTTTCTGACTATGAAAATACCCTGGGACAGATTTTCTCTGCGAGGCTGCATGCAGCCCTGAAGACAGAGCAAGCCATTGCCAGAAACTGAGCTCTTTGAAGACTTTTGGGCCCTGGGATCACTGTGGAGGATGGTGTGCCACAGTTGTGTCTAATGTGTTTTAAATTAGGTAGACAAACTTTCTAAAATTTAAGTTTTATATGTTTTGGGCAATATTTTGTCTTAAGATATATTTTTTAAACTTTTTATACTTTAGATTTTTTTCAGCTATTTTCTTAAAAGTATATTTTTTCTACAAACATCCTCTGCTGCTACATTAGAAGCATAACCTAAATAATTACAATTGGTGTGTGTCATTTTTAAGGTTTAAATAGAAAATATTTTGGTAATGAGTCTCTACACTCCCAAGGCAACAGTGTAAATGTAGCCGGCCAGGTGTTTACATGAGAGGCCCAATCATGGTCTGCATTCTAGCAGAGTGTCTGAAATGAGAACCATGCACAGCTCCACTGCGGCCTCACTGGGTCTGCTCTGCAGGTGGTGTCTTCCTGTCAACAGCAGGGTGCTTTTATTTATGCCTATTTATATGTAAATGCCACTGAAGGCTAAGGTAAGATGTCTAGAAATTACATGTCAGTTCTGTCTCGGGCAGTGCCTTATGCAGGTCTTGTCCTTGGCCATTACTGCCTGGCTCCCAGGCACTAATGTGTGACAGAAGGGCATGACCTCCTCACACCTCATGTTCCATGTCAAGTGTGTACATGGACGCTGCTGAGTACCAGGCATGCGTGTGCTTGGGAAGGGTGTGTCCTCACCCATGTCCTCAGTAGGGAACACCCATGCATGCTTGCTTGCTTTTAAAATGGTGCTCAAACATTTTAAGGTTCAAAACAATCTGACTCCATCTAATTTTAGGGCCCCTTAATCCTGGGGTGGCCCCTAAGCTGTCTGCTTGGATCTCAAGGTTCTGCTACCTGATCACATGTCAGACTCTTCCTCCCTCCATGCATGTTTTTTCTGTCTTTTATGTGCTTTTTTGGTCTTCCCCACCTGAGCCTAAGAGGTTTTATTTTTTTCCTGTGTTTGTATGACTATTCTTTAATATCATCAATGTAAACCTCACTTTATTAAAAATATCCAGCAAATGGAATGTGTTATGAAATTTTTTCTATCCTAATCCTTCAACCGAGTTTGCTTTTGGTGGTCTCAGCATTTTATATGCTTTCTATAATAGGCAAATAACTTCTTTTTGTGCTAAATAGGCAATAAGTTTGTTTTCTTAACCAAGGGAAAACTCTCCCTTACCTTTCAGCTCCTGCTACCTTCCCTGGGCCTAAGGGCTCTAGGTAATCTGTAGGAACAGCTGAGCCCCAGTCTGTGAGAATGATCTTACGTGTGTCTCCTTATAAAAGCTAGTTTAAAGGGCGTGCTTTAGTAAATAAATGTAAGGTAGGATTTCTCTTTTACATTTTATTTATGTCACAGTGCCCATGTGGAGGTCAGAAGACAACTTTCTCAGAATCAGCTTTCCCTGTGGGCCCAGGGATGCAACGCAGGTCCACAGACAGCTGAGGTGCCCTGTCAGTCCCTAAAACAGGAATTGCTTGTTTAAAGCATTTCTGTTCCTCCTAGTAGCTACAGTGTCTACTTCGCAGCCTTAAAAAGCTAGATCTTTGGCTGGGCGGAGGAAGCACATGCCTTTAATCCCTGCACTCGCGAGGCAGAGACACGCAGATCTCTGAATTCAAGACCACCCTGGTCTACAGCGCAAGTTCCAGGACAGGCTTCAAAACTACAGAAAAACCATGTCTTGAAAAACCAAAAAAAGAGAAGAAAAAAGATCTTTGGAAACTGAGGTGTGTGTCAACCTTGATGCTTATCCTTAGAGAGCTGCTGGGAGCCCTGAGACTGAGTGACCAGCCTGACCAAGGCTTTTCACCCTGCTGCCTTCTGTTTCTGCCTGGGTGGAGTTGCTGAAATTTCGTAGGTTCCTTTGGGTTTGATCATGCACATGTGACATTTTCAGATTAGATATGAATTTGATGACTGCTTGGAAGCACATTTTCCGTGTGTTTATAAATATGTAACTAGGGATGTGGCGTTAAAATCTCAGCACTTGAGGATTGCCATCTAGGTAGTATCAGGCCAGGCCTGTGGTGGGGATCACTGGTCATTATGCCCCTGGAGTAACCATTTACCAAATGGCAGACCAAGAATGTAGGTGCTTCTCGCAGCCTTCGCCCATAGCTGCTTTCTGTGCAGAGAGTGGACAGAAGGCACTCGGGTCAGAGCTGTCCCAAGTATTTCATGCTTAGGACTACATGTCCCTCATTTGTGAAGTATCTCAAATATGTACAAGATAGGACCCAACAACATTCCGTCAGGCATAGGGTGGGGCCCATGAGGCCCTATCCCTCTCTGAGGATCTATTCAGTTAAAGGTTGGGGGAGGGAGTGTCATTTTCTTGATATGGTGGTCCCCATTTTCCAAAAAATAAACATTCTCACAGTTGTGCGCTTAATTAAGTCACACACACACAAAAAAGACATGGAGGTAAGGAGATTTGGAAAGAAGGGTTCAGAGCGAGAAGGGATGAAATGACTTCGTGTAAGTCCCAAATATATGAGCCGCATCCTCTGTCCTTCAGTTCCCACCTGCATCTCTCTAGACGGTTAATGTCACTGTATTGCTTTAGAGGTCAGAAGTTTGTGAGGGAGGCATCTATGCACCTGTGGTGAGGTGAGCTAAAGATTGAGAACATCTGCCTGAGACATTGCCTTCCTACGTGCTCCATGTATATTGCCTCACTGCTGACCTCACCAGCAAAGTGCAGGACACAAACCAAGTGGGGCCTCTGCCACTGCTCAGCTGAAGCCAGCCTCCAGGAGGCTCAGGCTCTGCCAGGGTCCCGCCACCCAAAGCAAAGCCACTATAGGCAAGTAAGCCTCAAACCTAAGCCCCTTACCTTCAGTTTGGCCAGAGCCTGGGCCTGTGTCTCACAGCCCAGTTCCTTGTGAGGAAGGGGGTGGAAATAAGTGTCCTGGAGGGTGGGGAAGGGCAAGGAGCTTGCTGAGGACTTGTTCTCCTGAGCTGTTCAGGTGCTGCACTCAGTTCAGGCTTGGCTGTCCCAGGCGGCTGGACCCCTGGCTCTCAGCATTCATGTGTTCTGAGAGGCTCCTGATGGCTTCACCTTGCATGCAGCTGCTGGGGGCCCAAGAGCAGAGTATTTCAGAGCATGTGTAGGAGCGCTGCCTTGTTTGTCCATTCCTGCTTTAGTTGACAGAATTGCAGTTAGCCATATATGATGTTTTCAGATGTCTAGGATGGTTAAATGGAGCTGTGGCTGAAGGCTACATTTGAGTAATGAGAATACTAAGTCTATTCAGTGATTTCTGAGAATATAATTCATTCCCCCCCCCCCCAAGATAAGGTTTCTTTGCATAGCCCTGACTGTCCTGAAACTCACTCTGTAGACCAGACTAGTTTCAAACTCAGATCCACCTCTCTGCCTTCCAGTGTTGGGATAAAGGCATACACCACCATTCCCAGCTTTGTGATTCATGGTTAAATGTTGCCAGTTTACACTTTAGGGGCCTTGAATGTTGACCTGAGGCTACCCTTGGCTGACACCATCTCCATCAGGCCCTGCTAACTGCCACTCAGACTCTAGGAATTTCACATTCTAAGACTCCGCTGAAAGAGTCATCTGCTTGTCTGCACCTGGCTTATTCCACTCAACATAATGTCCTCCAGGCTCATCCCTGTTGTTGCGGTATCAGGGTTCCATCTTTTCCTGGATAGACAGTATTCTTCCTTTATCCACTCATCCTGGGTCAGGACAACCCAGATGGCGCCACCTTGGACATTGTGAACCCGCTGCAGTGAACGTGATATGAACAGCTTTTCCACAGACAGTCCTTCGTTTGGGTATAACCCCAAGCAGTGGCGTTGCTGGCTCACATGGCAGGTGTTTTAGTTCCTGGAGAGAATCTCTATACTGTTTCCCATAATAGTTGTTCTCATTTACATCTCTATGTCCTTGCCAGCTCATCTTCATCCTAGCAGTGTGGTGGTGCCTCACTGCGCTTGGCTGCACTTCTCTATGGTCAGTGTTGGCACGCATGTTCTTCATATACCTATTGGCCATTTACACTCCTCCCCCCAGGTAAAATAAAAACAATGAGTTATCCTTTTGTTATAATCCTCAAACTAAATATCACCTAGTGGTGGCTGAGTGCAAGGGTCAGACATAGCAACAGCACCTTTCTTCTCCCCTTCTGACGGGAGCAGTTCCAATACTCCTGCCTAGACTGTTCTCTGGTTCTGGACCACTTGGTCAGTTCAGTCAATAGGGAAGCTAGTGTCTCCTGAGCAGGTCAACCCCACAGTAGCCTCTCCAAGAGCTAAGGAGTCAATAAGAACACAGTCTTACACAGTCTTCTTTTTAATAAAAGTTTACAAAATTCAGTGTTGCCTGCTTGTGTCTGCCCCTAGAAGAAAACAGTTGTCTCAGCAGATGCTCATCCAGCTGTCCTGGGACACCCAGTGTGCTCTCCCACCCACCTTTCTACTCAGAAACGCTTGTCTCAAGGCTGCTGGCTGAGGGCAGGATCCAGCACAGGGATATGCATTAGCATTTTAGGGGAGCCAGGACCAGGGTGGGCTCCTGCAAGTGATCAGTAGCTGTCTCCTGCTTCCTGAACTCGTGGATCCTCATGTGATTCAGGCAGGGGTCACCAGGCTCCTGGTGCCAGTCTACAGTGTCCCCAGAAACTCTCTGGAGACTGGCTGTGCCCTATGACATTCCCTCTGCACCCCACGAGATCTGAGTGCTTGAGGTATAGAGTAGGTTGACAGAGGTCCTGGGAAACTAACAAGGATCTGGGAAACAGTGCCACAGAATAGTTCTCAGACGCTAGTACTAAAACCAGTAAGAATGTAAAATATTTCATAAAGGTACAAAGTACTCCTTCTTTTAGCAAACATTGTTATTAAAGAGTGCCATTTTTAGGTTACGTGGAGTAAAGATCTTTTTTTGTGGAATGGTGATGTAGTGTCCATTTCCTTGCAGTGGTGTCTTCAGAAACAGGCTGTAGGTGATCAGGCTGCCCTGTCTGCTGCCAGACGTCCCTGAGAGCTGAGAGCAAAGTGGTGATCGGGTAGTAAAGCTGATACTAGAGAAGCCTGGGTAGGTTCCCAGCACACCCTGGAACCCCCACTCCCCATCCTCCACCCCAGATTCTCTCCTTGGTTTCAATGTGCAGTGCAACCAGAGAACCATCCAGGTGGAAAGGGGATGAGGACAGTGGCCACGAAAGTCATCCACTCCACCCTGCACCGCTGCCACATAACTTCCCACAAGGCCAGACCAAGTGTCTTACAATTCTGTGACTGCCCTGCAGTCCAGAAGCAGCGTGGGTCAGTTCCTGCCTGTGTTCCTGGCCCTTGTGCTGGGTGTGGTCACCTAGGCCTTGGACTCCTGACTTCAGCGTCCACTGGTGGACTCCACAGATTTCTACCTCAGAGCTGCTGCTGGGCGTCCTCCAAGTGCTATGGTGAAGGATGAACGTGCTAAATGTCTTGTTGCTCAAAGGGAACTGCAGCACTCCTTCAGAGTTTGTCCTTCCAAAAAGCTGAGGGACAGTCTTATGGGACCTCTGGCATCATGCCCTGTTAGTTCATAATAATTCCCTTTCCCGAGTGCCATAGAACCCATTGCCTGCCCCGTATATCAACCAAGGCTGTAACCTAGCTGGGCAGCACCACACTGTGCCCTGATGCTTGGCTTTCCACAGAGCCACAGGGCTGTATTCCACCCCCACCTCCTGCCACCTCTCCCCAACACTACAGTGCAGATCTCTGTGGCACATACTCCAGTCACTGCCTAACTGTTGTCTCCTGGGCACACATAAAGAGCCCGTCCTGAAATGCCTGGTTAAAGGGGAGCACAAGATCCAGGCCCAGACAGCCTGTTCTCCCTCCCTGGTAAAAGAGAGAGGGGTAGGAATAAGGCCCCTTCCTGTCCACACCTCTCCCTGCTGGGCCTGCTGTGACGAATTGCTGGGTTGACTGCAGAAGGACCCTCAGCCTGAGAAGTGCTGCTCCTCGGGCCTGTAGGCGCCTCTGCCAGCTTCTGACCCAACAG